ATATATATATACATACATATACACATACATCGATACGCGATAAATATGTAAGTGTGATTTGTGAAACCATGTACACACGCGAGCACGATTCTCTTGTACTCGCTATTCGCGGGAGGGATGTCGATGAGTCAACTCGAATGACGCGTACAAATTTAGCGATACGTAAAATTACGCCGACAATCGGAGCTCAGAGGATGAAGATTCGTGTATGTTGCACACATATGTTATTCTATAGGTAGATGTACATGCAGGATGTTTGAGAAATGGCGATTATGATAGAATAGAAGGGAGTGTACATTTGTATCGTTATCTGTCCAGCATCCTGTGTGTATCTGTATTTAATGTTTGACGTCAAGAAAGAATAATATTGTATCACGTCTGCCAGTACAGTAACGTATTGATTACGTGAAACGCGCGCGAGTGTACTCTCTACATCTTGCTTGTCCTCTCTTTTTCTGATTTTTTCTCGAATTATATCTATATATACAATCTTACTTTTCTCTTTCTCTCTCTCTCTCTCAGCCCAAGTCGAGTAATTACAACGCGTTAGTACTCCATTTACATATATTCTCTATTCATTCTCTTTTATATATCTCTTTTCTCTGTGTAAAATCGCTTCTGACGATCGGTGAGTGTAGCAGGATCTTGTTTTCTACAGTGGACACAGAAGATACTCACTATTAACAAAAAGCTTTCTAGGTACATTCCTCCTCTTATTTGCTTCAAGCGATCTTTTGGATTATATCATATATCATAAGGTGTATGTTACCAAGTTATAATTGTTCGGGAACTTTTCGATTTTACGTTGTGTTATCGGCCGTTATTCATACTCTCTCAGCGAACACGGTTCGAGACGTAGTATATTTACTTAGCATATTCTAGTACGAACACGTTTAGGATGCACCCGATGCTTTTTGCATAAGCGCGCGCCCACACCAACACCCACACACATATACATAGATACACACACACACACACACACACACACACACACACACACACACACACACATATATATATCAAACAAAAATGAATTCTAGAAATTCCTAAATATCTCGCATTCCGCGATTAAGCGCGCAAGGAGGATTGGCCACAACGAGATTATGACGAACGAAATGGCAAAGTCTTATTTTCAAAGTTATACAACTCGTCCTTTGGCTGATCCTCCGGTTTCACACGTTGTTGTAATGTGCATGGCACTCTTTTGGCTTTCGGCATTCAGACAGGCAGATGATTTCGCACGATTGGCTTCTGCGATCTTCAACGGTTTGCTCTTTTAAATATGTGCGCGTGTGTGTGTGTGTGCGTGTGTGCGCAACGAGTTACCGGATGAATAAGTTCTCATCACGTGCATGTTCTTCGAAGGTTTGTCACGTGCGCTTCATACGATTTTTGTATCGGTTATTGCTTGCCGCGCACAAGGATTGATTTTATTGTTAGAGAAATCTCACGTTTTCACATTTACTGCGCTACAAATCACTATAACAATTTTCTAACAACTAGCTTCAAAAGCGTTTTTTCATTGGCGTGGTCACTGTATGATACTTCGATAGAGCATCCGGTCTTTGCTATTAATGAGATAACTTAGTTCTCTCCTTCTCCCTCTCTCTCAGTCTTTTCGTTTTGTAACGCGTGTGCATCTCCGAATCATTTACTGCTCGTCTGCCTGCCTATTTTATCATTAAAGATTGCCTCTGCCGATTATTGTATTCTTAAGTATAAACTGTTTGTCTGCCCGCCTCAGTCTACGACTTTGCGATCAGACACACCCAAAGAGTACGAGTACAGTCGAGTCTCAAGATTCATTTTTTCGAAGATCCTTGGACTACAAAAGGACGTGGATCCCGAGGATTCATAGTCGATCGCGGCTGAGAAACTACGCCGACTCTAAATTTCAATTCTCCCCGCTCGATCCGCTTTCTCTCTTTCTGTTCTCTTCATTTCTTTCTCTTACGTTACTTGTCTCGAAGAAGCCGCGCGAATCGTAGTTCTCTATCACGTGTATTTTCTCGTCGAGTCGCGACGTATCGGCCGATCGGCGCTGATGAGTTCGAGAGAGAATCGCATCTTCGATCTCAAGAGCGTCGTCTACATACGTTACCGCGCGAGGAGAAAGAGAGAAAGAGTGAGAGACGCACGGTGGGTTCGGACGCAAAGGAGGAAGACGAGAGGAAGAGACTTGCTCTGCCGCCGGCTGCAATCAAAAGCAAATCATGACACACGAGGCGAGTGAACGACGTATTGAACGTTGAAACGTGTAGGCACACAGCAAGCCCGGGCTTTTGGTGGTACATATCGTCCCACCTGTACGGTACCACAGGCCCCGGTAGCACCGCCCCGAAAACACCGGCCCAGTCGCCAATATCAATGCCAGTGCCAATGCCCATACCCGTGTCAATGTCAGCAACAACAACCGCAACAACATCAACAGTCGTCGTCGTCGAGCCTTCTCGGCAATCGCTGGTTGCTGTCGCGTCTGCATCAGCTGCCCTCTCATCATCGCCGACAGGAGACGCACGACCATCATCGTCATCATCAGCAACGAACAACGAGTCCGCCGGCGAGCCAGGCTTCTCAAAGTTGCTGCCAGGCTCAGGGCCTGCCACTGGGTCCGCCACCAAGACTTTAAACCGATTCCTCCGAGGTAAATCCCAGGTCGCGCTGCCAGACCAGAGCCTGAAACCGCCACTGAGCATCCAAGGTGTCCAACGAGCTGACAGCTGGCTCACCCGAATGGCTTTTACACTTTCTCAGTTTACACATCTTCACATTCTCTCTATCATACATACACACCCACTCTCTCGTACAAAATACATGCGTACATACACATACACATTGAGCACGCGTTCATATAGTTTGTACTTTCTTTCGACTAACCGTCTGTAGTCGTACCGTGTCATCTTCTTGTCCATCTCGCATTCCGCAATTCGCTCGTGTTGCCTCTCAACATCGCTGTTTTCTCCCCGCCGCTATTTGCCAGCGAACGCGCATCCCAAGCGATAATCGTTAACCACTTTAATCGCACAGACGCCCGTTAATAATGATAGTCATAATAATAATAATGTTTACACGCGTATCGTGACTATCGCCAAGGAGATTGCAAGCGAACATATTCGACTACCGCTTCCGCGCGCAATAACACTGGAAGTTGTATTCCGTTCTTTGCTGGAATGCTCAGAAATATCTTGTCCCGTTGGCAAAAACAAATGACGAAAGAGAGGCGATGTCGCGCCTCTCTTCGTTTGTCTAATCTCCTTTATACTATCTATTTTATTTTTAATTATGTTTAAGGACGTTTAATTTTTCTTCTGTGCATCGCAGTGCCGAAGAAAAAGTCACTTATGACGCCAATTACGGTTTATAATTATTAGAATGTACACAGCCGGCAAAGTAACAATAATTTTAATAATGAGACGACGATAATATAACAGCGGTTGTTATATTTGTGTATGTTTATATTTGTTATCGTTGTTATTATCACTGTCGTTGTGGCGATGGTGTATTGACAAGGGAAAGAGTATAACGATAATATTTATTAATTAATTCCCCTTGCGATATAATTGCAATAATCACGTTTACTCGACGCCTACACTGTTTTGTTGACGCTGCTATCATTATTGTTTACGTTGTTTGTATAGTTCTTTTTTCTTCCTTTGCGACAACTTTATTTCGCAAAAATGCATCTGGGCAAAAATTCTCACCAGTTGCGACAAATCGAGCGCATACACTTCCTAGCATTTATAATTTACCTTGTTTTAACGATTGCGTCACGGATATGTACTCGTCACCATGCAGATGTCTGTACTCTTCACGCTAATGATAATAACGTTCAAGCCGATTCAGTGCTTTGAGTGTATTTGGCGTATGAGTTTATCGACAATCACGTTATTTCGCGTGTTACCGCAACTAACCACACAATCTACCGTTGCAGGTAGCGACCTTTTGACTAGCCTCACAACCACGTTCGATCGCAAATGGAGATCTCTCGTGAATCAGTCGTCGAATCAGGTACAGCCCCCACTGGAATCCGCCTCCTGCAATAAGGAAAGCACAGACGACACAGAGCAACAGGAGCAGAAGGCGAATACGTCTCCGAAATTCAAGTATCCGTCTACAGAAGCATATCGCGATCCCAGTCTTCATAAATCGATCGACAAGAGCCATCTCTCTCGTTCGAAGAACGTAAGTACTCATTTACTGTTGTAGTTTGTATTAAGAGAGGAGGGAAGAGAAGGAAGTCATATTTGAAGTTATTAACGTCGTTTTTGTCTCAATGCGCGCAGAACGCTCCTGAGAAGGACACCGATTCAACTGACACGCAGCATCCTTCAGAGCCTGTCACACCGAACAACGATCGTAGCGCGAGCGACAAGCAGAGATCAGAGACTAAGACTACGCCGAGTCACGTCGCGGACAAGACGGAAAAAACGGTGCCAATTACGAGCGAGAAGGACGAAGATCAGAAGGCGGACGTAGGGGATTGCGCGCGCACGGGAAACCCGAAACGCTACGAATTGCCGAATGCGACAAGTCTTCAAGAAAGTAAATCGACGTCGCCTAACGCGTGCATGGAAGAAGCAGACGTCGATACGAAACTAGAAGACGGCAAGGACCATCATTACGAGTCCGGCGATTCCAGTTACTTTAACAAGCTGAAAAAATTTGAGAGCTTGACGAACTTCGAGGCGAGATCGCGCTTGAAACGCTCGGAGTCGCTGAACAAGAGATCCGAGAGCACCACGTCGAGACTGAAGAGATCCGAGAGTCTGAACAAACACTCGACCGAGAGACTGTCGTCGCCGACGAATGGCAAGCTCAAGCGTTCCGAGAGTCTGAACAAACACTCCGACGGACGATCGGAGTCGCCAGGCAGCAAGCTGAAGCGCTCGGAGTCGCTGACGAAAACGGAGAAGACCGAGTGCAACATCAGCAAAAGACGGCAATCGGTGCGCAAGGAGAGCGCCACCAAATTGAAGCGAAAGAACGGCATGCCGGAGCGCTCGATCAAGCGCAGGCACACAGTCGGCGGCACCAAGGACTTCGACAAGGTGCATTGGTTAGATAATAAGTTGCAGTCCGAGGCAGAAAGGATCATCAGGAGCGACTACAGACCGAAGAAGAGTCAGCTGCGAACTAGTTCGCCTGACCTAAGTACCAACCGCGTCAGCATGACTGACACGAGCTTCCTTATCGAAGTAAGCTTTCGCGGACCCAGCAACGTCGTATTCAACGTGACCAATACGCGGCCACAGTCGTTACCAGACGCGAGTCTCGCGTCCAAGGTCTTCAAAGTACCTCTTGAGAGTCACGTGTAACAATGCACGTAAATAATCCAACATCTCCTCCGAAAAGTACACCCGCAGTGCTGTTACATTGCTGCCGTCATTTTTTAATATCACGCATAAACCGAGCCACATATCATATTTATATATGTATATATATATTTCTCTCTTATTATAAAATATGCATACTCGACACGAAAGTCAGTCTAAGTTCGAAATATCAAGACCATCTTTTTCACCAATTATCACCCGCAAACGTGCCAAAGAGCCCATCATCGATCAATCACACGGATGATCGTTATCGTCCAAAAACGATAACGCCGACTATTCGCCACGACTGCTATATGATAAGGTGGATATATTTATCGCCACGGTCTCGCGCAGTATAATATCTTGACCATTGCTTTATTCTAGATTAATCTACAATCTCACAATTGTGCAGACAAGAGCGTAAAACGAGATCGTTGCGACGGAAATTATTATGAAACGAAGGAGTCAAACGGCGTTAGGCTCTCACTTTTATTCTCTTTCTCCTTCAATCTCGCTCGTTGGAGAGAGCAGTGACAAAGATACGACTCACTTTACATCCAAAAGCAAAGCGGACGTAAGTAAATCCAAGTTGCAGATAACGCTATCGAAAAACGTAAGAAAGTTATCTTAGCGATTATACTGAATTATATGTGGTATTTGCGCATGATGTCAATTATATATACATATACATACATACATATATATATATATATATATATATATATATATATATATATATATATATATATGTATGTACATATATATACACACACAAATCATACTTGTGAATTGTGATCGTGACATTTTTGTACATAAGTATGTATATGCAAGAAATAATTTAATTGGATATTAATTTAAGGTGACTACGTATATACATATTATATATATACTGTCTGTCTTTAAATTTATATTTTAATAACCACTTTATACATTTCGTCGTGGATATCGCGTACGATAAACATTAATCCTCGTACGATTAGTAGAATGTTAACGCGTGTACGCGTTATTTTTAACGAAAGTGCGACGGAGAAACAGCGTATATATATCGCGGATTGAAGATTATAAACGCATGCGTGTTTCTACGAACACGAAATTGTCGCAATTCCGTCGTGAGAGCGATCAGCGTACGTTATGAGGAAAGTTCTTCGCTTGAAAGGTAGCATTCGTAACGTTGAGATTTTTTTACTAGAAACTCCCCGATGAAAAGTCTACACGATGTGATAAGCCTTGGTCGATCGCGCGTCTATCTTTCGATGTATACATATCGTTATAACGTATGAATGTAGCGTGACTGTGTGGTGCGTAGACACGTTATGCTCGCGATCGCGCTGCCGTAAACGCGTCTACCCGCCTGCCTGCTGTGTGTTTGTGTGTGTGCGCGTGTGTATGTCTATGCGCACGTATTTTTTACGTAAATTGTGATTATTATTGCAATTAATAATCGATCTAAGAGACTGCTGTCGCGGCATTGTAAATTTTAGGCAATTATAATAAAGAGACAGGACGCGAACCGGTGCCGTCAATTATTCGGTGCCTCTTGCTCGTTGACGGAAGGAAACGGTACGTCAAGTGGTGCTGTGACGTGCAGCGCGTCTCTGTATTCCTTGTGTAAAATAATATTTCTAATCTTTCACCATAAATTAATATCTCTCTCAAAAATATTTCAGACGCTTGAACCTCCTTACGGGTTCATTAGTGCCGTGTTACTTGTGCTTTTCTTTTTCGAGACACTTTACACGTTTCGCCAAATTCTGTGCCCCTGTAACTCCTGTAATTCGCGTTTATAATTATTAGAGCATTGCGTCAAGTCGAGAAACTAGCGACGAGCAAACGAGCGGATCACGAGAAACTAGATGTTCCACGACTGCTAACGCGATCCGCAACGTTGCTTCGTGCTCGAGAAATTGCCCGTTTCACTCAACCGCGAACATTGGTGGGCGAAATTCGTTCAAACTCAAACAACGAGTGAGAATTTCGCGCGGGAGTGCATATATACGTATAGATTTGCAAATGTATACAAATACGTTTGCAAGTACGCATTCAACATAACATGTCGTCTATTATTTCCGAATGCATTTTATCCGACACCGCCAACGGATGCATGCGCGTACATCCGTAAATAATGTAACGCGAATTATAGCACGTCATATTTAACTGTGCGATTAATTTACTCTTACTATGTAATAGGACTTAATCTTTGGGATCGCGCGGTGCAATCTATCCTATCTTGAGTTCACGCGTTGGAAGACTAATGTGTGTAAATAGATATAGCGCATCTCTGGAAGCCCGTTGTCTCGATCGTGCTGCCGAAACAACACGTGATTGTATGGTCACAACGCGTGTATGTGTGCGTGTGTGTGTTTATCTCGTCGAGTCGCGGCGCGACGCACAATCGTTCGTAGATAATTTTACAGGTAGAACGAGGCAGCCGCTGCGCATAGGGCGAACCGAGAAATTGAAAGCGCGAAGTATATAAATAAATATATATATATATATATATATATATATATATATATATATATATATATA